CTTGGGGGAGGCATAGGTTCTGGTCCGGCTTGGACACTTAAGCTATGAGATCTTGGGTAAGTCATGTACCCCTTCTTTAGTTCTATAGAAGCTCTACACATACTCACAGTATTCTTATTTATTCCTATTATTGAGAACTCATATGAGCACTGAGATGAGAGCCCTGGTTCTCCCAGTGCGTTGCTATGTGATCCTGAGAAGAATGCTTCCCCAGTCTGGGCTTGGCCCCATTCTTGATGATACATGCCCCCTGTCTGAACTGCTTTTCACCGGGGACTTTTTTCCCCAGTTACCTTGTCATGCCACCCCCCACCCAGGAGTCAGTACTTCTCAGGAACAGGATGAGCACAGAAACCAAGTTCTCCAGAAAGGTGTGTATGTTTGGGGCAGGGGAGGATTCATTAGGGCGCCCGCAATCTTGGGCTGTCCAGGGGGCACTTAAAATGCTCTACCGGAGGATCCCTCGGCCCAGACGAACTCAGAGACAGGGGCCCCTTCCTGCTGGCTATTGTGTCCTAAGAAAGCTTCATTTTTCTCCTAAACTTCCAACTATCCCAGACTTGGGGCTGGACTGAGGGCTCAGAGATCAAGTTTATTTACTTGGCAAATGACTGCTACTTAAGGGGGGTCCAGAGACCAGAACCCAAGTCTCCAAAGTGCCCCAGCTGGGAGTCAGGAGCCTGGGTTCCTGCCCTGGCTGGAACTGGCACCCCGGCTTTCAAGATGCTTTCAGATAAGGCTGGAAACACGAGGTGAGCTGCATCCTAAGGGCTAGGATTCCAAGACTCAGACAGCACACTCAAGGGAGGTGGTGACGTGCTCCACCCCAGTACTGTCCCCTTGCAGCCCAGCCCTCCCTCCTCTCTGCAGCCAGAGCCACCAGGCAGCACTATAGCGCTGGCTGGAGTTCTTGGCCAGAAACAAGAGGCTCCTGGAAGTTATCCTGGGGCCTCTGATCTCAATATAAAACATCTTTTCATTTCTCCACAGTCTGCCTCTCTGCCCAGGGCATGTGAATCACCTGAGGGTCTTGCTGCAATGCAGGTTCTGGTGCAGTAGGTCTGGGGTAGGGCCTGAGACTCTGCATTTCTAGTAAGCTTCCAGGGGATGCCTATGCACCTAGTCTGTGGCCCACACTTAGAGCTGGGAGGCCTCCGGGCCCCAGTCTGTGTGAACTAGCAGGAAGGACAGCCTCTCACCCTCGGCCTCTCTGTGGCCCTTGGAGAAGTATATCCTGGATTCAACTGACCAAAAAAGGAGCAGTTAGAGGATGTGAGGATGAAAGGGGCCATGCCACCTAGTTTCATAGGTGCTGGAACCGAGGCCTCCTCAGTGCAGGAAGGAACTTGTTCAAGATCTCACAGCATTTCACTGACAAAGTCAAGACTCAGGCCTCCTGCATAGGAAAAAGAAAAACGAAACAAAAACGAAAACTAGAAAAGATATTCACTGAGGTGTTTGCTGGGCTTCCTCTGGGTGAACTATGTATGGGTTCCTTTGATTTCTTTTTCTCTTTCTTGTATTTTATTTTATTTTTTTACAATGAACGTGTACCAGTTTTGTAATAAGAAAAAAATTAATTTTAATAAAAGAAAATTCTCACAAAGTTCTCAGTAAACAAGATAATATTTACAAATGTCCTGGGTAAAGGGTAACTACACACAGCAGCTTCACATCCTGGGTGGTGGTTCCTCTGGAATTCATTCCAGTGAGGTGGTCCTTACTCCTCTGGGCACACGAATCACCCGGATGAGGAGGCAGGGCAACGCAGTCACCATCACCCAAGACCGCGAGCAGCTTCTACGGCCCCTTCACCTCTGCTGGCAGGAAACTTACCCCAAGCTGCCCTCAGGAATCTTTCCCTTTAAATTGGGGAAGGTTCCCTAATCCATTTCGTAGTAAACGACCTCGGGCCACGTCTGCTTTTGTTGCTGGTTTTCTAGGCTTAATTGCAAGCAAAGTTAATTTGAAAGAAAATAAATGTTACAGCTCTGGGGCGAATTCTAACGAGCCTTGGGCAATTAGGGAAGAACGCATCTAATTACCCACAGCCCGGGGGCGCCTGCACACGACGCTGGGGGTGCAGGGCCCTGAGCCGGGCAAATGATTTTTGTTTTCATAATAGGAAGAAGAAAAAAATAGAAACGCACCTCCCTCTCTGAGCCCCCAGATGGGGGGTGGGGGGACCTGGGAGGTCCTGTTCCACGGTCTGGGGATTCTTTAGAGTTGGAATGTTCCGAGGCACTGCAGTGAAATGTTCTGAAGGTCCTAGAGTCAAGCGGACTGGACGGCCTGCCCGCGCTCCCGGCTGGGGCTGAGGCGCGGCAGCGCGCACTGTCTTGGAGGCGCTCACTCGCCTGCGCCGCGCTTCCATTCTGGCCTGGCCTGGGTGGCGCGCGAGCTCTGGCTGTCGCCGGCCGCGGCAGGCCGAGAAGGGCAGACGCTCTGTCTTCAGTGCTTTGATCCCAACCCTCGCGGGTCTCCCTGTCTCTCCGGGCTCCGGCTATACACACCCAGTTTCCTCCCTGCGGCGTCCTCTCTCGCCCGCGAAGCGCAGACCCTCGCTTTTGGCACAATCTCACTTGCCCAAGTTGACAAGGAAGGTGGGGGGCGAAGACGCCAGCACTTTCCCACCCATCTTTCCTGTTCCCAGGGCTTTAGCTCGACTCTCCAGAAGGCTTCGGGATAAGGCGGCGCTTTTTTATTTTCAAGTCTGTCTTTCTTCCTGTGCCCAGGGCTTTAGAGTTTACATGGCGTTTTTCACCTCTCTTGTCTCGTTTAACTTCAGGAGGACCCTGTGAGGTAGGGGTCACAAATTCGCATTTCGCTATTGAGGACACTAGAGAAGGGAATGGCTTAAGGTTAATGGCGCGATCAAAGCACTCGACTTCGTAATGTAAAAATAGCGAAGGGCTCAACTCCAGCACTAACCGGGAGCACAGACCACCCTTCCCCAGCCCAGCCAAGGACAAAACGCCTGGGTGGAGGGCTCTCAGTTTCCCCATACTCCAACTAGGCAAGGTGTCCTGTCTTCTGCCTGGGAGAGCCAGACTGTCTAGCTGCACATGGAGAACCTTTGAATTGCATACCTGCAAGAGTCCATATGGAGATGAGGGAGGCCCAACCCTGCCACTTTTCCAAGGTCACAGGGCTGGGTCTGGAATCTGGACCCACTGCCAGCAGGGTCAGGGCTCCAGCTGCCTCCTGCCTCCCGCTGGTCATTTACCACCACCCAAGACAGGAAGGACCAGTAGCTAAACCTGGACTGTCCAATACAGCAGCCATCAGCCACACATTGCTCTTGAGCACTTGGGATGTGGCTAGTTCAAATTGAGCTGAGCTTAAGCATAAAATACACTCCAGATTTTGAAGACTTAGTATGAAAAAAGAGTAAAATATTTCAACAATTTTTATATTGATTATGTGTTGAAATGATATTTTGGATGTATTGGGTTAAATACAATGTATTATTAGTTAACCTTACCTGTTTCTTTTTATTTTATTAATGCAGCTACCAGAAAAATTTAAATTACACATGTGGCTTGCATCATGTTTCTGTTGGACAGGACTGGTTTAGACAAATACCCATCTGGACTGAATCACATTCACGTGTATTTGTGAACAGGATAGCATAATCCCCAAAATTAAAAATAAAAGTTACCAATGGTTTTCATACAGGCTTCTTTTTCACACCCCCCACCCTTCCCTACCAAGTTAACTAGGCAGAAAGGCTGAGTTTCTCTTGCCAGAACTCACTTACTCAAAGATTTCTATTAAAACAGTTCATCTGAACACTCAGATTTATCTGAAAGCTGTGCACCGAGCCTCTGAAATATTTAATGCTGGAAATTTTTGCTCCATAATTGAAACTTAGAAGATTTCTCAAGATAAAGGTAGGAAAGTGGTTAGATTTTCTCTGATTTTGGTCAGCTTGCTGCTTAAAACAAAACAAATGGATACAAAACAAAGTTAAAACTCCAGTTTCTTTCTCATGTTTACTTGACTGATGGCCCCAGTTAATTTTTCTTTCCTTTTTGCATGGGGAGGCTTACTGAGGTATGGCAGAGGGAGCCAGGGATGGCAGAGCCAGCCCGATCTACTGAAAGCTGTCACCACCAGGCCCCCTGAGTCCTGTCATCTCTGCACTTTACCGTGCTCACTGGGTCCGGGGCTGCCTGATAAAAAGAAACAGTGGACAATGGACAAATGTATTTCTACCTGCCACACTGGAAAACCCCATCTATGACCCAGCATAAGAGCTGCTGAATGATCAGCACCTCACGCTCAAAAGATTCAAGAAATTATGGTATGATCACTCACTGCCTGGAGCTATTCCAGTGACTTTAAGTTAGACGCTTGCCATGACCTCTGTTCTGATTCCCCGGAACGGGGTTAAGCTTTGGGTGGCTGCTCAGAAGTCCTGGGTGGCCCACCGATGCTGCCAAGTATGTGCAGGGCAGCATCCACGACCATGGGGCCTTTAAAGATCATACGGGGGTCGAATCCTGCAGCTCTCTATGTAACAGATGGGGAGACTGGGGTGTGTTAAGAGAATGGGTCACACTGCGAGCTGAGGCACATTCCAGACTCAGAGCCAGGTCTGCGGTTCTCAGAGGCAGGGAAAGCCAGCCCAAGGTCAAGTGAAGCAGAGAGATTTCTCCTATTAAAAAAGGGGAGAGAGAGAGAAAAAAAAAGACTACTTCTTTTGCAAACTTGGCCTCCTCACCTTAAGAAGGAAGGCGCTATTGGAACCTTTTATTGTAGTAAGGTACTCAAAAGCACAAGAGGCCAAACCGTGTAAAAAATGTACGGCCAAACCGTACTGAGTTCCGCGCAGTACAGGGAAGAGTGAAGTTACGTGATTCCCCACAATTCAGATCCTAGACTCTTGTGTAGACACTATATTGCGCCCTCGTTACCGCCAAGGGCCCTCCCCAGTAGAAGGTCAGAAAGGCATGTCCTCTGGAGCTTCGCCTCATCGAGGGTCCTTTGTCCCCAGTTGCCGGGCCGCGGCTGCCTCTCCCCACCTCCTCCCATTTACTGACTGAACCGGGTGTGTACGCGGTGCACCGGGAGGTTGCGCCTCTCCTGCGCGCTGGGTCCCTTCCACGTGGCCCTCAATTCGGTGCTCTCTCCAGTCCTGTCCTCGGGTCTCGGGGAAACAGTTCGTGTGGACGGCCGAGGTATCTATGAATTTTCTATCGTATGCTCGGCTCACATGGCGGACACGAACCGATCCACCCCGCTAGGATAGGCGGCCACGTGGCGAGCATGGTAGGCGCTTCCACTACCCGCTCCGAGCTGCCCACCAGGATTGTAGCAGGGCCCCAGCGCTCCAAACTGGCCGGGCGATGTGCGCCCATAGAAGTCCACTGCGGTCTCGACGCCGCTACTGCTTCCACCCGCGGGGGGCGAGGCGGGCCCTGCCAACCGGCCAGCTGCCGCGAAGAGCACACTGCCGGCCCCTTGCGGGTACGCGCCGTCGGGGCCCGCGTAGGCGGCCGCATAGGCAGAGGAGTTGGCGGGTCGGGCCCCCGGGCAGCCGGCGGGCTGGTAGCCGGTGGTAGAGGCAGGGGCACCGGCCGAGGCAAAGGCGCAGGAACCGGCGGGCCCCGACGGCGCGGGGCCTAGTTCTGGGCTGAGCGGCCGCTCAGGCACCAGGCCGAAGACGCGGCACGGGCCTGGCGACGCAGCGGGGTAGTAGACGGGGGGCGGCGCGGCGAGCGATGGCGGGGCGTAGCCTGCATAGACGGCGCCCGGGTAAGGCGGGCGCGCAGCGGGCATCGCGCCCGGGAAGATGGCGGCAGCGGCAGCGGCGGCGGCGGCGGCGGCGGCGGCGGCGTCGTGCATGTAGGCCGGGTAAGTGGAGAGGTCCGAGCGCTTGAAGCGCTTGCGGCGGCGCAGGAAGCTGCCGCTCTCGAACATGTCCTCGGCGTTGGGGTCCAGCGCCCAGTAGTTGCCCTTGCCCGGGCGGCCGGCCTCGCGCGGGATCTTGAGGAAGCAGTCGTTGAGCGTGAGATTGTGGCGGATGCTGTTCTGCCACTTTTTGGGGTTGTCGCGGTAGAAGGGGAAACGCTCGGTGATGAACTTGTAGATGCCGCCCAGGGTGAGGCGGCGCTCCGGCGCGTGCGCGATGGCCATGGCGATGAGCGCGATGTAGCTGTAGGGCGGCTTCCCGCGCTGCAGGGGGCGCTTGCGGCGCCGGCCGCCCGCGCCGCGCCCCGCAGCCTCCGCCGGGACCCCGGCCCCCGCCTCGCCGCGCTCCTCCTTCATGGCCGCCAGCGCCTCCGGCTGCGGCGGCGGCGGCGGCCCGCTCTCGGCCGTCATGGCGCAGCCGTCCCACGTCCCCGGGCGTCCCCGCCGCCCGCTGCTGTCGAGGGTCGGGGGCGGGTCTGAGACCTGCAGGGCCCGAGACGCGGGACCTGGGGAACAATGCAAGCTGGACCCCTCTGCGAAGAGCTCAGGGGATCCTCGCGGGCTGGCACCGAGGGCACAGCTGCCCGGGCAGGGGCGCTCTGGAGCCTGGGTGCCCGCGGTTTACGAGCTGGCTCAGTGCGGACAGAGGCTCAAGAGTGTCCCGCCCACCGACGGCTCTGCTCGTTTTCAGGAGCTCGAGGCCAGGCGCCCGCAGCGGCGTTGGGACCGGGACTAGGCCCTCGTCGCGGGCTGGAGGCTCCTTTGCGCGCGGGTGCCAGGCGGTCGAGGAGTCCGGAAGCAGTCCTGGGACTGGGGCGACTGCAGTTGGTCTGGGTTCCCGGCTGGTCCGAAGATAACCGTCGAGGTCGTGCGCGCAGAGGAGGCTGCGGGCCCGAAGGCCCGAGGAGGGCAGTTAGTGCAGGCGTGGGGCACTCTGCTGGGGGCCGCCTAGGCCGCTCCCCTGCGGCCCAGGCTGCGGAGGGCGCGGAGGAGAGGCGCTGGCGGCGAGGTCGGGGCGCGGGCCAGGTGGGGCGGCCGGCGACTGTTCCTTTCCGCAGCGTTGGCCTCCAGCCGCCGAGACCGCTGTCGAGACGCTCCCCTGCACACACCCGGCCCGGCTCCTCCCTCCGCCGGCTTCTCCTCCTTAAAGGCGCCAGGAAGCTTGGGGCGGCGCCCGTTCCCCGCCCGCCCCCCGACTGCCCGCCCCTGGGCCCGGGCGCACCTCCCCAGGTAGGAGCAGCTGTGGCGGCGCGGCGGGAGCCCCACAACGTCAGAGCCGGGAGGGCGCTTGGAGATCCCCGGGGCAGGCCTCCTCTGCGCGCCGACGGGGAGACTGAGGCCGGGAGAGGCCAGGGACTGTCTCGGGAGACCTCGGCCCCCGAACTCAGCGCTTCCGGACTTTTCCAGCCTCTGCAGAGGGCTGGGACCCGCAGGTGAAAGGAAGGGCTCGCTTCATTTTTTGTGCAGAGAGGGTGAGAATTGGCTGAGGGGCGCTTGGTTCTTGTGGGGTGAGGGACAGGGAAGGGAGGAGACGTTCCAGGTGACTGGCTCCCAGGATCTTTCAGGATGATTTTGAAACCCCAGTCAAGGCTGCCCTGCCCGTTCCCCATTCAGCCCCTCATCTTTCAGAATTGAATTTCTAGGCCGCACGGGCGAGGTGACTTGCCATGGCCCCACCGCGACTTCGCCGCTTAGCGGAGCCTCACACCTGCGTCTCCGGCAGGACTGCGCCTCCCCGCTATGTGCCCGAGGCAGCCGCTTTTCCTCTTTGGGTCCCAGGATTCTCGACTGTACGGATGGTTTGGATCTCAAGAGTCCTTCCGTTGCCGATGTTTAGGGAAAGGCCGCACCCCACCTCCCACCATGTCTCCGGGTGACTCGGGACCCCTCTCTGCGCAGTGGAGAGTGGCGCACAGCTTAAAGAGGATGAAGGCTAAGCTTCTGCCCTCCCTCGTAACCTCCTCCTCCAGTTCGCCCAGGCCAGGGAGGGCTCCAAGTGGCTCCTCAGACCCCCCGGGGGCAGCACAATAGCCCCTTCCAGAGCGAGGCGTGAGGGCTGCGAGAGGTGTGTGTGTGTCGGGGGGAGCTCCAGGTGGGCGCGTCTCCCGGGCAAGGGGCGGGCAGACCGGACTCGTTTGCTTCGAGAGTATTCGGTGTCTGAGTTCCTTTCCTGCCAGCCCCCGAAGAAGGCGGGACTCCGGCGCCGCCCGAGACTCCCTGCGGCCGCAGCCCCGCTGGCCTGGGATCGCTCTGCGCCGCTCCCTTCCCGCTCGCAGAGCCTCAAGTTCCTCCTCTGCGAATTGGGGGCGGGAGGGCGTGTGCGGATCTCGGGGGCCTCGGTGCCGACTCCGGAGGCTCCAGCCGGGACGCAGCTTTCCGCGGGGCTGCGGCTGCAGGGCGCGGCGGCGCGAGCCGCCACAGCGCGGGCGGCACGGCCTTCGGGGGTGTTGGTCGCGTTCTTCGTGGCGGTGAGCTGGCGGCAGGCTCAGCCCGGCCAAGCTTTGCGCAAACTGCCTTCGGAAGAAAGAGGCGAGGAGCCCAGATCCGCGCTCCGCCGAGCCGGGTGTGGGAGCAGTCGCATCGTTTGCATGACGACCTTCCTCAGCGGAGGGGTGCGCTAAAGACCGGAGAGGGGCTTTTCACTCGCTCAGCAGAACTCCCAGCTTCCTTCTTCCGAAATAACGAAGATGCGAAAATCCAGGGTTCATCCTGTTATGTTTTTCCAAAGGGAAAAAATAAAGTTAAACAATTTAAAGTTATTTTAACCGGATTACATTACATTACCTATCTTTTAATACGGAGTTCTGTGGTTCTTTGCATTTCCAAGATTCTGAGATTAGATTTCCAAATTTTTAATTTCGGACCGTTATCCTAACTTGATTCCATAAATCAAAGAATGTGATTCTGTAATTCTGATTCCGTGACCAGAAGTCTAAATTCTTTAACTGTGATTATATTCCTATGGCTTTAAGCTTCTGGTCAAAGTGTAAAAGCGTATTTCTCATCTTTTACGATGCTGGGACTGAGAGCTTGTGCCTGAAAATATGATGCTGCTCCTGGAAGCTGTAGCTTCTCTCGTTTTTAGATCTTTTTGCAGATCTGAGATATATGTTACTTAATTTGAATTCTTGTCTCAGAACGTCTGATTGGAAGATTTGGGTCCTATAAATCCACAACTCTCTTCTTCCTTAATGTTAGTACTGGATCCACTATTCTGTAACTCAGAATCTAATTCTAATAATCCTTATAATATTCGTGACTGTATGCTTTGATAATCGGTACCGTAACTTTATGATTCTCTACTTTTAAGCTCCACTGACTGTGGTTAGAAGCCTGTATCTGAGGACTTCTTGAACCTCGGTATTTGTGTCTGTGGACCCATTCTTCTAGAATTCCGATTCTTCTTTCTCAAACTTTGCTGCTAGTGAGCTACACCTGTGCACTAGACCAAGCACTGGCATCCTGAGATTAGAATTCCTGACATCAGGATTCTAAGATTTTCATGAACAAAGGATCTAAAGATTCTATCCCCTAAATATTTTATTGTACTAATACTTGTCAAAATTCTGTACTTTGAAGATTTTGTGACTCCATGATGTAAAATTTTAATTAAACGACTTGATGAGTGAACTGGGACAGTTTACCCGTTTGGATCAAAACTATGCATAAAGATCGCCTGGGTGCCAGGGCATTTCCTCGATTTTCTCTGGTCGTCTTCCCCTCTTCTCTGGCGCAGTGCTCTGTAATGTTTGTGGGCGTAAAAGACCCCATTGGGAACCATTTGAAAGCTACCCAGTGGGGTCCAGGCCCCTGGAAATCATTCTCCAAATCCGGCAGGGGTGGGTTGGTGTTGCCGTGGGCCGGTGCTGGGTGATTTCCATCTGCTTTGCACCTGCCTTCAGCCCTGCGTGTATCCTCTTTGGAAAAACCTGCCCCCGGAAGGCTATTTTATGTGCAATTTTGTGGCAGAGGGAAGGAGTGCTGGTGATCTGTAGAAGACACCCCCAGCACCTCCCCAACAACTACTTTTCCGAGTTTTGAAGTGTCTTCAGAGGGTTTGTAAGTATAAAGGAGGGGGTCCAAGGAGTCAGGAAAACTCCACCATATCCCTTGACCCAGATGCCCCTTCATGCAGATGCAGAGGTCTCCAGCGCTTCTCCTTAAGGAAATCTTGTATATTCGAGCTGGAAGGAAGCTAGGCCTAGATTGTGGAAGGGACTTGTTTCACGTCTTGCAGAGGGGGCACTGCGCTGAGAGGGAAACTCAGGTCTTCTGGCTCCTTACCTCCTGGCCTGCAGCCTCTCAGTCTTTTCCAGAGTTCTTACTGTGCTTAATGGCCTGGCCTGGGCCACTTGCCTTACTGAGTGACAGTGGAAACTCCAGGCCCCAATGCTTGCAAACCAGATCCAAGACTCCTGGTACAGTGGGAACACAGTGACCTCTGTTTGCGTTACTCTGGGGTGGTCAGTCAGGATTAGCGGGCTATATGGCTTCAGAGAGCATCAGAGCAAGACTGCCACAAAGGGCTCACGTGTCACACAGCCCTGCCGGCACTGCAGCAGCGCTGAGGAGTGATAGCTCCAGTCCAGCTAGCTCATTACTGGCCCAGTGGCCTTGAGCCATCTGCTGCCCTTCCTAGGCCTCAGTTTCCCCATCTGTGAAGAGGGGGATCCTCTACCTGTCGTCCCTCTTCCAAGGAGTTGAGCGGATGGAGTGGGGCGCATCGCTGACCCATGATGGTTTTCTTCCTCTTTTAAATTGTTTTCAGGGTGGAACTTGGACGTGGAAAAAAGACAAGCAGGTGAGGAAAGTTCAAGTCGTTCCACTCCTGGTCCGCGATGAGATGCCTCTCTCGAAGAAGTATCGGTTGGTTAAGGTTTTTCCGCGGTCTAACAAGCAGTTTCCAGTCTCCGAGGCCCGCGCGGGTGTGGCTTCTTTTGCTCGCAGCGCGGCGCGGGGACCCCGGAGCTCGGTCGGGACAAACCGGCTTCGAGCGCTTTCTTGCCATTGGTTCACTTAAACACCCTGGATGGAGAGTTACCATCACCCCGCGGACCGACGGGGGAACTGGGGCCCAGAGAGGGGATCCTTCTGCTTCCCGCCACCCCGCTTGGCCTGCACCCCGCCACTAGCCTCCCGGCTCACCTCGAGGAAGCACCTCGCGTTTTTCCTCTCAGCCCTGCCTGCGAGTCCCCGGGGCGGGGAGCTCAGGAGCCAGCTGGGACCTCCGGGAGCTCCGCGGGGTGGCGGAAAGGGAAGCCTGCTCCGAGCCAGGGACAGAGCTGCGCCGGAGCCGGAGCCTCGACCTTGCCTCATCCCCAGGCTAGCGCCCCCACGCCCTCTCGGGAGCTCAGCGAGCGTCCGGGGCTCAGGACCCAGGAGCCCAAAGCAAGATCCTCCTTTGCTCAGAC